TACACGCCCTCAAAACCAGTTGATTTCAGTACGTATGTGCATAAAATATTTACGCTGTCGTGTCCATAAATAAATACATAAATAAAAAAAAAATGAAGTGTCAAAAGTAATTATTATAAAATAATTATAACAATTATAGTTATCATTAATTCACTCTTTATAAACCAACACAAAATACGTGACCATTTTACTATCGGACAGCCGTCAACCCCTTGCGTCAACGAAAATTTCGTTTCTTTTTCCTTTTTCAAACCATAATAGTAGTCACTCAACAAAAATCAGAGGTAAGAAAACACCAGATACTTCTTGTAATTTTAGACTAAATTATCTGGACGCTCATTACACACACGCTCGCGCGCGCACACACACACACCTATATATATATATATATATATATATATATATATATATATATATATATATATATATATATAAGCTAAGCATAAAAAATAGGAGAAAGATTTGTACACTTATTCTTTATCTTATCCTTCTGTCGGATTACTGATCCATAATTAATCTACATTTGATACCAAACTCACAATTTTACTCAGTATTACTGTCTCTCGTGTCTCCAACTCCACATAACAACCAGATAATAATAGTGGTTTTGTTGTTCCCACATCCTGCTGTTTCTCATTTTTACAATTATTTTTGTACATATAAATTTGTATTTTATATGAAAATTGAGACGTATTAGAGTGGGGGCCTATGATAGATTGGGGTTGGGTGGTCACGAGATCCTTGTACCAGCTATGGTTACATATCACCTCAAGGTGTCAACATTCCGCCAGTACGATTTGTAATCTTGTACTGCACGAAAAGTGCTGTTTCTATGGAAATCACGCGAATAGATGCATCTGGAATTTGCTAAGAAGGGGAATTTATGTCAACTCGATACATATTGGAGTAACGTTCTTTGGTACAATGAGAGTAAAATGGAGTTCTTTGGCCTCACTTCGTCTCGTCAATTTTAGAGGAAGAAGAATAAAGAATTCAAGCCAGAAAACATTTTGTCTGCCAGAAACGTCTCTTAACGGCCGCTAGGCGGCGTTGTCTAAAACCCTATAAAAAGAAAAGGGCGAAAATTCTCTTTTTCTCCTTAACTATGAAATTTGGTAATGACAAAATTTGATTACTCCTTTCTCTGGGCGGACCAATTTAGTTTCAACCGAACCACGTGGTGCAAACTTTTTCTCTTCTTTTCTTAACTGTTGTTCTTGTTGTTGTTCTGTGTATAAATATATTTTTTAAAAATCCATGTTGAACCTACTTATTTTTTTTTTTAAAATATTCGACCCAAATCCGCTATTATTATTTATTTTTGTTACAAACACCATCCCAAATCTGAAGTATGGAGGTGGCAAATTTAATAATAGTATGTGATTTTTTTTTATCAAACGACATAGGAACGAAGAATGAATGACATTCTTCTGATATATATTGAAAAAGATTCTCAAGGCTTAAAAATATGAAACACAGTTATTTGTATTTCAGCAGGATGATAAACACATACAACAAACCAGTGGCTTGAAGGCAACCAGTCTTCTCTAAAGTGAATCAGTCACTCCCAGAGTTGATCCTAGTTAAAAATGTGGGTTCATGCTCGCAAGTCTAGTAATTTGAATAAACTCAAGATCTGTCATGAAATGTGGTCCAAAATACCATCTGAAGACTGCTTAAAAAAGTTAACAGATACATTTCGGAAGCGACTGGTGGCTACCATTGTCAACAAAGCTTATTCCACAAATTATTTAGGCATTTCATTGTTCGATTCTGTCTCGTGTTTGGTATTGAATATCTTTTTGCTCCATTTTTTTAAAAATAAATCTCATCTCTTAGCTTTTTATGAAAGGATTTTTCAGAGAGAGAGAGAGAGAGAGAGAGAGAGAGAGAGAGAGGGGGGAGAGGGAGAAGAAAGAACGTCACCACTTATTCCGATAATTGAATAAGGCGCATACACGAATACAAACAAAACTTGAAATTCCGATGTGAAATTTGAGAGACAGACATTTATTACATTAATATAAAACAATAACAATACATACAAGTACGTTTAAAATTTCCTTCTGTGCATCTTAAACGGCAAGATAGCCAATTCAAAAATAGGAATAAAAAGCTCATAAAAAGGCTCATAAAAGAAGATATAAATTATTCAACAAACTTTCAAAAAACTAAAAATCTGGATGGTAGAATACAATTTCTTTTAAAAAAGGATTCAAAATACACATTCTTTCAAAAAAGATACACTTACTTAACTAAAAGTGGAAACTGAGAAGGTTTTTACCAGAGTCAGTAAATAAAATTTGTTCTTTTCTTGAACACAGATTATTATCTGAACTTCGCTAGTTTCACTAGTTCTGCTTCTTTTTCTCTTTCTTTCTTCGTATGTTTCTTACTTCTGTAAAAAACAGTCTCGATCATCCACTGGTGACAGCCAAAAATGCTTTTCCTATTGATCTTTATAACTTGTAACGTTCTGCTACCTTCTGTTTTCTTGTGCCTTCGAAATTGTTATACCTTTTGAAAATTTCTGCTAAAACTCGTCTATTCTATTTATATAGCTACCAAATAGACTCCAGATGGATCTCAACTTTTAAATTTGTGTGGGTGGAAATCCCCATTCTGATTTATCAATAAATCCAAAAATGTATATTTTTTTGAATTTGGATAATTAGGTCATAAGTCGCCCACCTTGACCGACTTATTTTCGATGAGTTCTTATCGATCCGTTCTATTTTTAGAAAATTTAACAAACAAATGTTTCACATCAAATTTATTTTTTTGTTAACCGTCTGGCTTTCTTTGATTTTTTTAAAACACTTCTCTTAAATGCAAGCATAATAAACTAACGTAGACGGCTTTAATATTTATTTTTAATTTTTATCTAATTTTTATTAATCATTTTTATTCAATTTACATTTTTTATATCATTTTTTTTATATTCTCCCCTCAGGAGAAAGAGCAATAAATAAAGTTAATGTATCGTATTATTTTTAATTATTTTATATTCACCATTTAATTATTTTACACATCCAGTCAGTTAAGTACCATACATGATACACGCTTGGGCTATCATGTCTCTTTTCATGACTGACTAGGCAAAAGATTTTCCTGCAGTAGGTTGCCGTTTGTTTCTGCAGCAGATTGATACCCAAGTATAGGACCCAGTCTGTCCTGCTAGTCAACGCATAGCTAGGGGTGGGGAGAAGAGACTGATTCATACCTTTTCCCAAGGGTATTTGCCGTAAGTGAAAGTAACGAACCCGACTGGAATTCAAACTCATTCCGAGCCGTTACATCCCAAATTTATTAATTTTTAAAAATAAATTTTGTTCATACTATTATTAAAAAATACACCTATATGTGGATTAAGATTTTGAGGTAATTATTTATGTGTAAATAAATAATGCAGTCGATCGTCCTTTTTTTGTGGCGTGTCTTTAACACTTATTTTCCCATTTAATATATGAAAAGAGAGAGAGAATTAATAGAAGTATAAGTTTGTCTCTAAGCTGATTGGTATTACCTTCAGTATCCTGACTCCAGAGTTTCGTAGACGGACACCCAGCAATCACCCCTGTCCACTCGTCAACGGGTATCGTATCAGCAATATATATATATATATATATATATATATATATATATATATATATATATATATATATATGTAGCTTCTAAGCTCCAACCTTGTCACCTTCTTTGATGAGACAAAATCATTGAAGATTTCAATAGGACCACTGATGTTAGTTAGTCCCATCATAGAAGGTTGAAGCTTCAGAATTTAATCTTCTCAAGATGTTGAACATCTCTCCATTCTCATATGGTTTGGTGTTTGGTGACTCTGGTACAGTATATGCTTCTACTGTTTGGTACATAACTGATGAGGATATTAGGCATTCATTCAAACATTTATGAATATCCACGCACACAATAGAGGCACGGCGGAGTAATGATAACGGATTGAGGAATCAGAGATCAGAGATCCGAGTTCGAATCGAGTTCATTACATTCACTAATCCCCTTGGGAAAGGTATGAATCCCTCTCCCGCCCCTCTCCCTCGCCAGCTATAGGTAGCCTTGAGTGGCAACCGGTCTAGGAGAAGGAGAAACTCTGAATTCGAAACCAACCTGGAGAGGATAGGGTTCCGCCAGGCTATTTTGCCTAGGAAACACCGCTGCTACCCTTACCCTAAAGAGTTACGGGTCTCGTGAAACGGACACACACACACACACACACACATATATATATATATATAATATATATAAACTACTGATTTCACGTAAACAAATTAGTCACCCTTAAAATGAATCACTAAATAAAATAAAAAAAAAACAATAAAGAAAGACTATATTTAAAAAAAAAATTCCTCCTTTGCTTCTGTGCTAATGCACTTCACAAACTTGCTGACCTTAAAGTTCTGGGCAGTCTGCTTCTGGATAACGCCTTGCCTTTACATTTTTTATTCTATTTTTATTTTGTTAAAAAAAACCGTTGTTGTAATTCAGCTGCACGATGATTTTTCATTTAAGAAGCAATATCTTTTCTTGCCGGTTGCTAAGATAAACAAAGCATAACAGGTCAGAACAGTTCAACCAAGTGGATTTCAAATTATGACTAGTTGGGCCGGTGTGGCTGCTTGCTGTGGGAAGATTATAATAATAAATAAATAAAAAAATTTTATCGCCTCTCGCAGATAATTAGTAAAGTGTTGCTGTGTCAGGCAACGGACACGGAGTTTATTTTCCCAAGTACAGCATAAAAAGTGCACCAACAACCGATTACAATTTTGAAATATTAATAATAATAATTATAATTATTTACTTTTACTAGTAAATTCGTAACCATTAAAATTGATTCAAGCGGTTCTTTTTATCAACGAAGAAATAAAAAAGCGAGATTTCTTTCTTCGTACCTTCAATTGGGAAAAAAGAAATTTTATTTTCAGCGATTGAATACGAAATTGGCGGCTGTGAATTTGTGACTGAACTCCACACTAAACATGGTGGCCAGAAGCCAGTAAGTCTGTTATTTATTGATTCTTAAACTAATTATTAAAACCGGCGACCAAATTGATGGATTAGGAGTTATTCGGTCTGTCGGAATTGGATTATTAATCTGGGTATGTGAAGTATTGACCTTATTAAAATGATCTTCTCTATTAATTTACCGCCTCTTTGATTAGTCCCTTATTCTTATTTGTCATACATGTGTTTGTTGAGTAATTCAAGTAAGAATTGTCATTTGTTCGTCTGCCTTTCTTCCTCTTTGTCAAAAAATGTTTCTTTCAAACAGAACTTTTTTTTCTTGTGTATGATTACCCCATATTAACATATATTTGACCATGATCGTTTAATTATCTATTTTGGGGCCCTAACTGCAAGTATCACTTTTTATTTTTTTCTCACTTCTCCAAATATTGCAATAATTTGGTCACCCCGAAGCAGCAGCTGAAATAATATCGAAGTGTTGTCATAAAGTGTACAAAAAACAGTGCCCTCTGTGTATGTGTGTGTGTGTATATATATATATATATATATATATATATATATAATCCATATTGCGAATGTGTCTTTATTGAAAGCTCTTGACAGCATTTAAGTGGGGACCACTGAAAAATAATGCATACGTAAGTAAAGTTAATTTATCAACGTCTGAAAAATACACACACACACAGATAATAAATAAATTTCACTTTTAGTTATTACTAATAATATTGCTAAACCTGTGGAAGTTTATTGTAAACTGTTCTGCATAGCTTCTTTTTCTCGGTGATCTTATTCTTTACAGACTGAATTATCTTATCCACAAATTTTTACTAAACATTTCAAACTTTAATTTTTAATTTCATAAATTAAAATTTCTTCTTAATTAATTAATTTTCTACTCGTATCTTTTTTAAAATAATTTGGATATGAATTTCAAATCAAATCTTTTTGTCTTTTTAATTCTCTTTTGAAAATCCAAAATTTAACTTCCCCTTTCCCTCACATACATTGTAATTTTGTAATTAATTCATTTTTCCGCCCACAACGCAAACTTGCACGATGTTTTGTTGAAAAATGCTTATTTAAATTTGCCTTTTTATTCCCCGCTACCTGGAAATTCGGATTAGTCCAGCTGTTTGGTGTGAAGTACGTTTTCATTTTATTTTCAATCTTCCAATCCTGTGGTTGCCGTGATCGAACAATGCAAACAAATTATCATTTTAAATTATGAAAACACTAAAATGTTTTTCGGCTTACAGAGCATCTCAAATCTCAGTGTATAGAACTGAGTGATAAGGACGAAGTAGATTTTTTTTTTTTTGGTTATATGCGAATTGGAATTTTTGAAAAAATGGTTGGAGACAACACTGCGTAAAAAAAATGAATAAAATTTGTTCTTCTGAATATGAAGTTTTAGATTTATTTATACTTTTTTTTTTTGATAAACTTCTATGCACAAAGAACTGGTTTTAAGGTCCATAAAAACTAAAAAAAATTGATTAAAAATAAATATTTAAATTTAATTAATTTAAATTTACAATGTTTCAATTGGGATGCAATCAGTTAAGAAAAAAGTACTGAAATTTGATTCTGAAGTAAGTAGTAACTTCAGCATTTTTCATTTTTTTCTTTTTTTTTTTTTTTTATTACGGAGCTTGATAGGTTCACAAGGCCTCATTTCATTTATGTAGGGTTTTTTTTTCTCATGAGGATCAAATTTTCTCAGTAATAAGCCAGTCACGCCCTAACAAGTACATGTGACAGATGTGTTGTTGAATGTACACTTCAAATTCTAAGCAAGCAAAAATTAACTTTTTTTATTAAAACTGACTGTGAAGTGAATGTATCCTTGTTGATGAGGATTTTAATGAAAAATATTTATTAAAAAAAACAAGAACATAATAAATTTCCATTCCACTCAGACTAAATCTCAGTTTTGGTTGGCACGAGATTACAAGTATGGGGTCCCCAATGAGGATTGAATTCACTACTCGGTAGTACTGGTCAACTAGACTAGCTCGCTAATCATTATCACACACTGACAAATTGTTTAACTTTTTGTAACCCCAGAAAAATAAAATAATGGGATAGTTTGTGTATTACGACTTGAAACTGATTACCAACTGTTGGTTTTTAAGAAAAACACGGAACATCGTAAAATTAGTCACTAATTTATTAGTGTAACACGATCTTGACAAAAAAATGTAGGTACCTCCATGAGAGCCAGCAAAATAACAAATTTTCAGCACTTTTTTTTTTTTTGTATGACAGACATTAATTTGGAAAATATTGCAAAAATAAAAATAATTATCGGATGTTAATGAAACTTTCAGAAACTATTCACAAATGATGGAAATTATTATGTTTTATTTTTTTAAAGTCATAGAAAAATATTTTTTTTTATATTTATTACCCCCCGCCTAACTAATTTTATGAAAACTCTAGAATTTCAGTTGCATTCAGTTTAGTGATTATATTAGTTAAAAACACAAGGCTTTGAGGAAAGCAAATCATGTATTTTTTTTTAATTGCCCCCTCCCCTGAAAATCAGCTCTGAATTGTAACATACAAAACTCAATAAAACAAAGATATTATTTAATTTCAAATGCTTTTATGAATATGGACAATATTTTCTGAAAGCAAAACATTTTTTCGATGAAAAATGAATTTTTAATACAATTATTTGTTATTTCTTTAATTATAATAGATTTTAACATTTAAGTTGTTAAAATATTATAAAATTAGTTAAAAGCCGCATCCAGTTTCATAAATGTCCTTATGAGATAGATCTTTTTTTTACCACATTGTAAATTGTATCATTTTGACTAATCAGAAGACCCACAGTAACTAAGAAATGTAATTTTGTGTTTATAATCGGACTGTAATTATAAAGTACGGAAGACCAACCAGAATACAATTAAGCTGCGTTATTTGAGTTAAGCATTGTTCTCCGCTGTTAAGGCCTTTACTTTTGTGAAACGTGTGAAGTTAATTTGATTTTTCAATTTCAACTGAGAAGGGTACCCACAAGTATCAGTATCATCTTATGAAATATATATGATCTTATTTTTATATTAATCTCAGTTATGACATTTTTCCATAAATCAAATAACAATTAATAATAAAATGAATGGAAATACAAATAACACAGTAAAATGTAATAAATGTACATAAAATTATATTAATGTACAATTCTGATAAAATTTCATAAGAAAGGTACCTATAAATTGATTAGATACCTTTCTTATGAAATTTAATCTCACTCTCAACAGTCTTATTTTAATTTCTTTATAATATATTTTCTATAAAGCATCATAAACATAAAGATGAAAGTTAAGTACAAAAAAAAAATTAGAGTGCTGAAAGTTTTCCTTAAAAATAACAAGGTAAATAATTTGTTCACTTAAATCTAAATAATTTCACTTCTCTCCTTTCGTAGAACAAATTATCCTCATGTAATCTGTCAATACGTCATTCATCACTTGTCAAGTGACACAAAATGTTATGACCTGCTTTGTTTAATTTTCAAACTACACCTTTTCAGCGCAGAAAGTAAATAATGCTGGTTTCAAAATGTTTTAAATAAACATTATAATTTCTGATTTTCTTAAAATAAGATTTGAAAAAATAATTGATTTTTAAAAGAATTCCAAACTGAGATTTTTTTTTTTTTTTATAAAATGGAAAAAAAATGGTTGACATGATTGATATCTGACAATTTTGTTGACTCAAAAAAAACAAGATTCTTACTGAAAATATCGGAGGTGCTAGGAACGATAAAAAAATGTAAAAAAAAATACCCCCAAAATACTTTGATCTTTCCTCTTAATAACATAAACATTTAGATGGTAAAATTTTGTTTTCATCAAGTTTGGCATTTTTTCCATCATACTATGCTCTTTTTTAGTGATCTCATGGAGGTACCTAAGTAAATAAATATCTAGTTGTCTTTGTCTGCCATAGAGTATTTGTATTGTTTTTTATTAAAGAAAAAAAAAAAATATCATTAGCTCATTTGACGTAATGTTAAAAAAGATAAGTGAAAAGTTCATGGGACAACTTCATCTGAAAATATTCAAGTGCAAAACAATCCATATGCACTTTGTCTGGAGTTTACTACTTGTACAAGTGAACATCAGTTTTGTGCACTTGTGTCAATAAAAACTAAAGCAGCTTCTTAGGATTAATTTAGCATAGAATTGACACAAAACTGCAAATAATCTTCATATCTATGATGACTGAAGATGAATGTATATTTTCTTATCACTTTAAAGACATTCTTGTTTTATGTAATAACTTTTAGTTTTTCAGAACAAAATAAATTTTAGTTTTGGTTTTCAATTCTTGGAAGAAAAAGAAATAATTTGAAAATAAAAATTCTCAATAACTGTGAAATTTCATAAATACTTTTTATATTTTAATAATTTATTACACACCCACATAATGTTGTTTATAAATTTGAACTTTCCTCTTTATTGAATCTCATGAAAACTTTGTCAAAGACTCGAGTGATTCACTAATTAAATATGTATACTTAATATTCTCTCATATAAAACTTGTTTATCTTTAAAAAGGTTTAATGTATTCTTTATATGCCGATAGCAATAAAAATGAAAAATAGTTTTTTCACTGTTGGGTTCCAGTCTCTCTCACAAATTGTTTTTTTTTTTTTGTTTTTTTACTGTTCACGAACACAACAGAAATGATCAGTGATTAACTAATCATTGGAAGATTATTTTTTTTTAATTTTTTGTATGTAGTTAATTTCTTTAAGAAGTTAGTTGAGTTGTTTTTGATTTCTTTTCTTTGGGGTAATGGGTATCAGTTATGAATGAAAAATCAGAGAGCTGAGCTCAAATTTCAGTCAGCTTCGTTATGTGCAGATACCTTTGGGAAAGGTGTGAATTCATCTCTTCTCACCCCCCACCAGTTATGTGTTGAATAACAGGACAGGGTGGGTCCTATAGCCTTGGTTGGCAACCAGTCTACCATAGAAAGAAGCAGGAACCTACTGCAAGAAAATCTTCTGCCTAGTTAGTCATGAATAGAAAGAAACATAATTGCCCAAGTGTGCATTATATATTAAGTTGTGATATACATTACCCTTGATTTATATTAAAAAATGTCCTTCATA